CTCCTGTGCTGAGGTTCTCTGTCGCACAAAGAGCGGAAGAGCACACGTCTGAACTCCAGTCACCTACCAAGTTCCATCCTGTGTTCCTCAAAAAAAAAGAAAAGTCGTAAGTCAAGAGAATCATTTATACATCACAGAAACTTTGGAAAGGAAAAAGGCTCCGAGATCATCTGACATGAAGTGGGAGAGGAAAGGAACTGCTTTCACTGACGCTAATTTCCACCCAGTAGACGAGGAGCAGATGGGGTCAGTGCCACTGCCTGACCTCACCACGCTGTTGTCCTCTGCCTCCTGCTCACTCTATTGTTCACCCCCTCCCATACTTAGTTTCAGGTGAGCCCAGCTGAAATAAAGTTTCAGGATTCAGAGTTGTTTTTGCTACTTTCTGACTGGCCCTGCCCCCCTTCTTTCTGCCACCCCTCCAACACACACAGTAAAACTCTGGACTATAATTAGAAGTGTTCGGCAGACAGCCCTATTGTACAACATACGTTTTTTAGCTGTGAGAGATGTACTTTTTGTATTGACTCAGTAGATATAAGTATGAGTTTCCTATAGCAAAGAAATGATTCACATAGTTGAACAACATAAAAGCAACCTATGCAAAATGGCACAACCACTGTAGAAGAAAGTATGCTGGTTCCTCAAGAAATTAAATGTGGAATTACCACATGACTCAGCAATTGCACCTGAGTATATACTCAAAAAAGTTAAAAGTGGAGACTTGAACAGATATTTGTGTACCGATGTTTACAGCAGCAGTACTCACAATAGGAAAAAGGTAGGGACAACCCAACTTTTATCAACTGCTGAAGGTATAAACAAAATGTACATGTGATAGTATGTTATTCAGCCATAAAAAGGAGTGATTTTCTGATATGTGCTACAACATGCAGAAACCTTGAAAGTATGCTAAATAATATAATCCAGACACACCATTCTTTCTACCATGTAGAGGATACAGTAGAAAATGACTCTACAAGCCAGGCAGAGAGCTCTCACCAGGAAGAAGCTGCTGTCATCTTAGTTCTGGGCTTTTCAGCTTCCAAAACTGTGAAGATGAATGTCCGTCGTTTGAGCCACCTGCCTGTGGCATTTTGTTACAGCCTGAGCAAACCAAGGCACAGTGTTCTGTATGGATTCAGATTACTTTCTGGAGTCTGTGTCTTTCAGCCTGAAGAACTGCTATACTTCTTTTAAGGCACATCTACTGGCAACAAATTCAACATTGCTTATCTGGGACATTTGTATTTCACCATTTTTGGGGAAAGAAATTCTGACAGATACAGGATTTTTGTTTGTTTTTTCGAGCACTTTGAATATGGTATTGCACTGCTTATGGCTGCTATTTTTTCCTGCAAAGTCAGCACTTAATATTAACCGGTGTTCCCTTTGTAAGTAACTCATGATTTTTCCTTGCTAATCCTTGTCTCTGACCTTTAACATTTTTGTTGTGAAGCTGTTTGTGGGCATCTTCGTATTTTTCCTATTTGAAGTTCATCATGCTTCCATAACAGGGATTTAGAAGCTAGACCTGAAGATACCCAGTGGGTAACTAAAAGACAGATCTTAAACCTCTTTGCTAGTGCTTCTCAACACAGCTGTGCTGGTTAAAGCCCCTTTCTGGCCCCTCTCCACCATTTGTCTCCTTGATTGGTGGTGTGGGAGGGGTGACCAAGCCTGGTCTGTTGGGACACCTAGATTTGGGGCTTTTGCCCTGAAACCTTGAACTTCTTGGGTGTGTAGATGATGTTTCTGGATAAATCTAGCAAGCTTTCAGCCATTATGTGTTCACTTTTTCTTCTGTTCCTCTCCCCTCCTAGCACTCTCCTCACAGGCATGTTGAAGGTCACTGAGACATTTTCTGACCCCTGGATGGCTCCTCCTAGATCTTTCCCCAGTTCTCTTGGGCAAACTAGCCAGCCTATAAGTTACCCCATACTGTTTCTCCATGAGTCTATGAAGATCCTACCAGTTGCCTTTCAAGAACACAACCCTCCATGTTTTTGGTTTTAGTTTTGTTTTGGTTTTCGAGGTGAATCTTACTGTGTTGCCCAGGATGGGCTCAAAGGATCCTGATGTAGTCCCTTGTTTTTCAGAGCACCCTTAAGCTTTAACTTCTCTCCACACCACTGCGAAACAGGTCAGTTCCTATAGAAAGAAATATGGACCTACCTATTTTACAGCCTATTTATCCTCCCAGTGAAAATCTCCCAGTCCTGGCTCTGGAGCTCAGAGTGAGGACAATGGCACACTTCTTTCCAAGTGACACCCCCACTAGGAGCTGAGGACTCAGTGGAGAGGAGGACAGTGTCCTGGTCTTTTCAGCTTCCTCTCTGAGCATGGACATACCTCCTGCATTCTGGACAAGGTCTGTTGAGGCCCTGGTATTCTCAGTAGCTCTTGTCCGAGATGGAGCTTCTATCCCACAGGGTGGGACTGGGAAAGAGGGACCCCCAACCCCTTGGCCACACTTCCCTGCACTAAATTCGTGCCCCTTGGGAAAGACAGCCTTCTGACTAGGGACTGAGAGATGGAGCCCTGCAGTTTTTAGACCCTAAAAACAACAAAAGAAAAGAAAAATGGATCCAACAGTTGTTAGAAGAAGACTAAGATTAATTGGAATTAGTGAAAAATCAGAAGAAAGCACAAATAGCATTAAAAAATCTGTTTAAAAGGTAAAGATCCCAATGATGAATGTAACTATTGTATACCTAAAATGTACCAATAAACTTAACTGCCTCCTAAAAAAATCTGTTTACAGAAATAATAGCAGAAAGCTTTTTGAATATGGGGAAAGAATTTAACATACAGATGACAGATGCATATAGAATCCCAAGGGCCCGGGATTTACCTCAGTGGTTCTGCTACCTGCCTCGCAAGTGCAAGGTCCCGAGTTCAATCCCCGGTACCAAAAAAAAAAAAAAAGCATATACAACCCCAAATAGCCATGAGCAGAAAAGACCATCTCTGAGACATCATTGTCAAAATCCCAGAAGTACAACATTAAAAGAGAAACTTAAAAACTATTTGAGAAAAGCACCAAGTCACTTATAAAGGTAAACCCATTAGAATTATAGTAGACTTTCCAGGTGTGGTGGAGCACATCTGTCATTCCAGCACTTGAGAGGGTGAGGCAGGAGGATCACTGCAAGTTCAAGGCCAGCCTAGGCTACATAGTTCAAGGCCAGTCTGAACTACATAGGAGACCCTGCCTCAAAAAAAAGAAAAAAGAATTATAGCAGACATCAATACAAACCTTATAGGCCAGGAGAGCTTGGAGTGCAGTGTTTCAAGTCCTAAAAGAAAACAACTTCCACACCCGACTGATGTATCCTGCAAAAGTTATCTTTCAAAGTTAATGGAGAAGGGCCAGGGATTTAGCTCAGTGGTTCTGTTGCCTGCCTTGAAAGCGCAAGGTCCTGAGTTCAATCCCTGGCACCAAAAAAAATACAAAGTTAATGGAGAAATAAAGTCCTTGTTTGCATGACAAACAGCACCTTAAGAAATTCATGGCCACCAAACTTAGCATTCCAAAAAATTCTCAAGGATATCATAGAAAAAGACAATGAAGCCAACAATTCCCAAAAGTTTAATGTAATGAAGACACTGGTGAGTCTTTTGGGGCCGGGGCAGAATGTTATGGCTTGTATATAGATATCCCCCCAAAGCTTCATTTGGTCATAGGTGGAGCATTTTTGAGGTGATTTGATCTAGAGTGTGTGATGTCAGGATTAAGGATGTGATGCTGGAATTGATTCTCAGTGTGATGTTAGGATTAAGGCTCTCCCACCATGGGTGTGAGTGCTACCCATTAGAGTAAGTAGCCTGGATAAAATATAAAGGACAGAGAAAGGGCTGCTGTTGTCACTGCTTGTCTCTTACTGCTACACTACTTCACCGCTTGCTGCCTTTTCCTTTGCTGCCCTCTGCCCGCCATGAACTTTTCCTCCTCTGAGAAGCCGCTCTGCCTTGCCTCTCTACCTTGGAGCCAGCCAATTATGGACTGAAACCTCACAAACTGTGAGCTGAAATAAACCTTTCTTCTTTTAACTTTGGACATCAAGTATTTTGTCTCAGCAACAGGAAAAGAGTAAGCATTTAAGCAGGAGGGGAAAGAAATGGAATCAGCGATAGGAAAATAAAGTAATAGGAAAAAGTCAGTATCTTTCAATAATAACTCTCAATGTGGATGGTCTCAATTTCTCAATCAAAAGACATAGTTTTGGAGACAGGATCAAAAAACAAAACCCAGTGGTATGCTGTACACAAGAAACACATTTAATCCAAAATAAAATTCATAGGCTTAAAATCAAAGGATGGAAAATAATACTTCATGCAACAGGAACCCAAAACAAGCAGGAGTAGCTATCCTATTTTCAAACAAAGTGCACTTCAAACCAAAACTGATCAGAAGAGGCAAAGGTCACTATATATTGGTTAGGGGAAAATTCAATGGGAAGATATAACAATTATAAACATATATACATCAAATAGTGGCACTCCAATCTTCATCAAACAAATGCTACTCGACCTAAATGATCAGATAAACATCAACACAATTATAGTGGGGGACATGAATACCCCACTGTCACAAATAGAACAACTAGGCAAAAAAAATCAACAAAGAAATATCAGAGTTGAACCAAACCTTGAGACAAATAGACTTATTAGAGATCTACAGAGCCACCCAACAACAGAATATACATTCTTGAGTCTGGCATGGTGGC